TACACGGTTTTCGATATTAACTCGCAGCAACACAAGTGCAGACAAGATCCATTTCATGGCGGAGGTTGGTCCAGGGGGGGGGGGTTACCATATATATATATATATATATAATATGTAATACTTGGCTCTGCGTTGTAAACGCGAAAGCATTTCGCCGCCAGTTTCGAAACCCGAGCAGCTCAGGTCCATTTAGGGTCCCAAACATAGGTATTTAGGTTTCATAGGCGGTGGTCACAGGATGGAAATATCAAGCTTTGCGACTTCGGGCTTGCCTCCTCGCCGCAAAAAAAGTAGGCTGGGGCACCAGCTTCAGGGACAAGGAGGAGTTCAGCAGGTGTCGGGTTCGCTGGAGGGTTTAGCATGGGAGTCGGGCAACTTCAGGACTTTCCAGGGAACGCTCCGCGATTTCTTCAACGTCAGGTTTCCTATATTTGCAGCCGAGGCAAAGTTTGTGGCGGAGAGGACCTTCACCAACTGCGGGATTCCAGACTACTACGCGCCGGAGACATGGGCATGGGGTTTATGTGCTTCGCGGCTCGGGGCCTTCGGATTTGGTGCATAGGCTCAAGCCGGTAGGTTTCTGTATCATGGTCTTGGAGGCATACGGGTTGTGAGTGCACTGTCAACTCCGCGGTCTCTGTTTATGATCATGATGACTTCTCGCATGACGGATGCAAGTTTTTGGTGCAGAACGAACGATTGCTCGATGTTGCGATTGTTCGCAATAGTGTTAGCGTTGTTCAGCAACAGCCTAAAACGACTCGGGGCTACAAATGGCTTCAACCAAGTCCAATACCTTAAGCCTCGAGCTCTCCAAGACGGAAAGGTGTTGAACTGAGGCCGACGGATACGTGGCAGAAATATGAGGTTTTGCAGCACTTTGCAGGTGATACATGTTCGTTCCCTGACGGAAGCGGAACTGACGAGACAAGACTCGCATCGGGATTCACATTGAGTACCGATGTGAAACGACCAAATCTTCAGGCTTATGCAGACTTCCCCCAGACTGCTATGTCGAGTAGAGACGGACATGCTTGTGAGTCAAGGTTCCTAGGTCGCCAAAGTGTTTCTATTGAAGGCTCCTTCGGTGTTGGGCTACAACTTGATGCATCGGTCCTCTGCGACAGGAGATGGTACTTGCTACTGGACATGGCCTCGAGCTGGACTGGTGGTGCTTCGGGATCCTTCTGCTACTTGCCCCAATGCTCAATGTAACTGATTTGCTTACCTCTTACGTCTTTTGTGATGTAGAACATATATTATGCCATATAACATTTGTCATAGGATATCGTCTGTTGCTTCAAGCAGCACTGCAAGCCAGCTTTGCTGGGATGCTGTCATTCATAACGTGGAAATCAACAATTGCGAAGCCCTGAAGAGAAACATGAACAAGCCGACCCACTGGGTGAAGTCAACCTCAGATGAAGGGGCACCTCGCACTCGAACGATGTTGAAAAGGGTGGGCATGAGGAAAACTGAAGCAGTGAATGGAAGACAGGAGCTAAGCCAAGAACAGCCTCTTCTAGCGCCTAGTGACGCGTGACATGGCCAGAGGTTTGAGCTGATGTCGGGGAAGCCGCCCTTCGAATCGTCGAATCCCATGCAGATTTACGTCAGCATCCTGCACGGCATCAGCAAGGCAAGTATAAGACTTGCACCCGTCACTCACCTGCAGCGTTCGGGTGCTGGATGGAGCAAATTTGATGGGTCTCGAAGAGCTGGAACACTTCCGATGTTGAGATCATCTTGCGAATGCAGGCTGCTCATGTGCCCCGACAACAACTTCCAAACATCCGTCTCCATCTAGTTTTGGTGACATACCTGCTTGCCGACCTACCTAGCTTTCTATCTGGCTGTCTGAGTCTAAATATCTATGCATGCATGTATTTGTGTTTGGTTGATTGTCTCTGTGTGTGTGTGTGTGAATGTCTTTGTGTGTGCACATGTGCATGTAAGATTATGCATGTATTCATGCATGCATGTCTGCCTATATGTGCCCATATACCTATGATTGAAATGTCTGTACGTGTATGTGCATATGTATCACGTATGCATGCATGGTATGTATGTACGGGCGAGACACCTTCTGGCATCCGTACGTACATACATGCAGACAGACAGGTCGACAGACAGACATGCATGCATGCATACATGCGGTACGTATCTCATACATGCGTACATACGAGAAACAGACAGATAGACAGAGAGGCATGCTACAGTTTCTGGGAGGTCGCCATGCCTGAGGGCAACACCAGAGCCGCTGGCGATCTCATCAAGCTGCTGTTGAAGACCGCATCCAGGGTTTTGGGCCGACATATATTTTCCGCATTGGAAGGGTGGGGCTGTTTTCGTGGGGGGTCCTTGCTAAAGGGGTATGGTCGATGGTTGGGGCTCATTCTCACGGTAGCCTGATGCTTGCGCCAGGAAGGAGCCATTGGACAGATTACCTGTGAAGGAGGGCTTCGGGAAGCTGAAGGACCATACCTTTGTCGCCTAGGGTTCCCGATTTTAATCATCATAGGTTATAGCTGCACCTGCGGCCGTAAAGTACGATGAACGAACTCGTTCTGTGATGAATCAAGGAGCAGCGCTGGTTCTCCGAAATTTCCTGGAGTGGCTTGGCAGAGCTGCAGATGGACACCCCCTACAAGCCTAACATCCGCCACAAGAAAGACCTTGCGAACTTCCATCCGCGATCAGAGCTAGTTGTGCAGCCTCCTGAGTATGAGGATGACGGCACCGACTGGGATGCCAACTATCCCACCTAGTGAGCCGTACCCGAGCTCTGCGGAGTCTTTCACATGAAAGGCGACTGCTTGGTCATCATGGTCGCCCTGACATGTGCAGTCTCAGGAGCCATCCCATCAGCAAAGTCTCAACACATGCTTGTTCACGCTGCGATGGCAGCTTGCTCCTGGCACCAACAGCAACATGATCGGTCGAGGGTCTTGGCTTGGCTGATGAATCTGTCGATCGTGACCGCTCCAAGACTACTACTCTTGACGTGCTGCTCTCCCACGGCTACATCGAATCAGACGTCACCTTTCGGAAGCATGTGCATGGCTTCGTGCGACTGAAGCCTCCCTTCTGGTGCGACAGTGCGACACTACTGTTTCGCTGCAGCAGCCCAGCAGCTCAGCAACATCATGGCAGAAGCTTTGTTTGTTTTGGTACCAGGCCCGTTGCAGAATCTCAGATGCCCAGGCACGTCGCGAAGCGCGTTGGGAACACCGACAACATAGCCATGGGCATCCGTGTCTACTGCTGCCGTTACGAGCACCGAGCTGCCTAGACTTGCCAACGCATGTCAAGCTGCGACTCCAATCCAGTATACCGCAGCGCACTAGGCGAAGTCGAAAGAGGCACTTTTAGCGTGCTGTGGAAAAGACAAAGTGTCTCAGTCAGTGATTTGGGGTGTACAGCGCTGTCCAACTCGTCCTATAGGCAGCAGATGAAGCAGGAGAATTGTTCGATATGCACAGATCAAGATTGTTCTTGCATCCGGACAAAGCATGAAATAGGTGCGGTGGCAGTTGCAGAAGGCTGAGCAGTAGAAGCAGTCGTCGTAGTTACAGTTGTCGCCGTTGTCATCCTGACTAGAACAGAAAACGAGGAGGTTGGAGCAGCTGGAGGAGCAGGAGGAGGAGGAGGAGCGTCAGCAACAGGAGGATGCGTGGGAGGCGTACTCGTCGTGGTTGTAGTGTTGTCGGACTTGTAGATTTGAATCATGCGGGGAGGCATGTCGCTGTAGTATTTTCGGGGAGACAACCGTCATCAATGCATGAACATCACGAGCAAAGTCTCACAAAAGACTATCCCAAACACACCGCCGCCCGAGCCACGCAGCTCAAACCTTGTGCTTGTGCGACGGAGGGCCCTGAAATCCGTGAGCTCCCCCGAGCACAGAGGCAAAGTGGTGTGCCGGGCTTCCATCGAACATGTGATAGTGCCTGATTGGTGACCGTGAATGTTCCGTACACTCGACTTGTTTACTATGTATCTCCACGTATGTATATGTATATAATGATAGGTATAGACAAACTATTTAGATAGGTAGCTAGATCAATGTGTTTGTGTACATCCATGTGTGTGTGGTGCATGCACGCCCGCAAGCCTCAGTACTGTGTTGGTTTCCTTGCTTGCTTGCCTGCCAGTCTTGTTGAATGCATGCGTACTCACAGGCTGCAGAAATTGATCAACCCATGGTCAGATTGACAAACGTAAGCAGCCGATTTGTCCAGGTGCATATGATGCATCTCATGTGGATGTCTCTCTGTGTATGCACGCTCTGGATAGGGTGCTGGTTGCAGCTGTGGGGAAGCTGGAAGCTTCACGATTGAAGATCTGAGTTCTTCGATCTCGGGGTGTGACTGAGGAGTGCCACCGTCGTTGGCGACAAACCAGGTGCTTAAACCCAGTCGCCCAAGCGTAGCATCAACCGTCTTAGAGAGTCGCCAGTTTTCCATGAAGCCTTTATAAACTAAGCCCCAACCATTCACCATAAAGCCCATAACAGATTAACTGTGTCAGAGCTCAACCTGATCTCTGCAGCTGGTACTACAGTCAGAAGCACTTGGGTCTCACGGTGCGGGATGATAGGGTCGCTTACGTCCACAATATGAGATCCACTGTTTTTGTGTGTATTATTCCTCGGAATCGTATTTCGACTTTCCAGTGTTTGGGGTTCGCGGCCAAGTTAATGCAGCAGTGTCAAAAATTCGAAGCATCTTAAGAATATAGGGTTTCAGTGTGTGAACGTATAGCTATATATGGACTGCATGGCGATGAGTATACGATTTATCAGCGCAGCTTATCAATAGTTGGTTGCCAATCGAGCGGCCCTTGTATCTCGGACTGTGCACAGGCGGTGAGGCTTTCCCACAAGCAAAGGTCTTGGGAGACTTTTGTCCCTGTTGTAATCTACGGCAGCATGCAAGTCGAAGTTTTTCAATGTATGGACCAAAAGTTGTTAAAAACTATTTCAATCTCGGCAGGCGACGATGGAGTCGCACTGGCAAGCATGCCAGTTCTGGGATGCATCGGTTCCAGTTTGGTCAAGCTCTTATGCGGCACAGCAGCAATGGGTAGCAGCAGCTGTCTCTCCTCTTCCTGCTCACCTCGTATCCACTCGACTCTACCTCCGCCTCTATCCGGCCTGAGAACGCTAAAGCGATCTCTTCCCCTGTGTCGCCTTGTTGTCGCCCACTGACCCAGTCACTCGCTCACGCGATGCGTGTGACTCTCCACATCCATCGCTCTCCCTCCCCGTTCTTGCCATGCTATGAGTAGGAGACTGCAACATCAAGACGTCAGGGAAGCACTGGAGTTGTTGCAAGCGACTCTTCGGCATGCATGCAGCCTGGAAGAGTCCCAAGAACAGCTCATTACGTTGCTGTTGAGCAAGGTTGTCGCCTGCATTTGCATAGCGTGCGCCGTGCTGTCTGGCATGAATCAGGCACGCTTCATGAGGAGCATAGGTGTTGCACATAAGCCGACCATAGCCAGCCCCTACTAGCTTGATTGAATATGCATGGGCAGTCCAAAGTGGGTTAGCAATCTCGTTGACCGGCTTGAAGAAACCGTACATAACTAGAGTTTCTCATGCAACAGCCTCTGCCAGGCCTCGTCGACGGCGTCGCAATTCTTTTTGATTTTTGCTTGTGCAACCTGCTTAACTTTCGGCCTTGGCGGGACGGCTTTCATGTTGCTCGACCTGAGCCACGGCATGATTATGTACGTGAAGCTCTGCACTGTAGATCTTGTTTTGAATCCTTCTGTAACCCCAAAGTAAAGGTACCCTAATTTGAGTCCTCTTGTAATAAGCCCGAGGCCCTGAAATAGACATGGGTGAACCAGTGGTCACGTCCTGTCGCCGGTTTCTGCCATTATCCAAGGAAGCCCTGCAGTCATGAATGGAGCAAGCCCAATCATGAGTGGATGACCCTTGTCAGATACGAGCCGTTGAGGGTTCCGGCTTCCTGCTTCTTAGGTTCAGGGCTCATCCTCCTGTGCTGCTATATACGTACTATACGTCATCTTTCCACACGGGATGTCCATCAATCCTGGCTTCGTCCTGGCAGCTGTGTATGCTTGCTCACATCCTGCGTCGCCTTACCTCGCCTCACTTAGTAGTACCTTGCCTGACCCTGCTCTACATTACTCGTACCTTATCCTTGCCGGCACCCTTACCGCCACCTTCATCTTCACCCTTTCCTTTAATTTTGCCGTTACCTTGTCCTTCACCTGATCTTTTTGCTTCGTCGCATCTTTTTACCTTCATGGGTTAACATGTGTTGTATATGTTGTGCCATGCTAAGCTATGTTATGACACGATATGTTATGGTTTGCTACAGCAAAATGACATATAATCATATAATTCTCCGTAGTTTCATACTCTGCTTTCCTCTCTGTATGTAGACAGGGACAATCAGGCAGACGGGCGGACAGAGACAGACAGGCAGACAGGCAGGGAAAGACAGAGAGACAGACAGAGACAGACATACAGAGAGACAGACAGACGGGGAGACAGACAGACAGACAGGCAGACGGACAGACAGACAGACAGACAGACAGACAGACAAACACACACACACACACATGCATTAGATATATATATATATAGATATGTATATATATATATACACATCGTATGTACGTATATATCTATGTATGTATGTATGTATGTATGTATGTATGTATGTATGTATGTATGTATGTATGTATGTATGCATGTGTGTATGTGTGCATTTACATAGATACATGCATACATGCATGCGTACATACATTCATGGATACAGTCATACATTCATGATACATACATGTTTACTTACTTACTTACTTACTTACTTACTTACATACTTACTTACTTACTTACTTACTTACTTACTGATTTACTTACTTACTTGCTTGCTTACTTACTTACTTACTTACTTACTTACTTACTTACTTAGGAACAAATAAACAAGCAAGCAAACACACACACAAACAAACAGGCAAACAAACAAACAAACAAACAAACACACACACACACATACATACATAAATACATACATACAGACATACAGACATACTTACTTACCTACATACTTACATACCTACTTATCTACATACTTACATGCTTACATACTTACACACTTACATATATACTGACGTACATACAAACGTACAGACATACAGACATACGCTCATACATACGCACGTACATACATGCAGACGTACACGTATGTGTATATGACCTAGCAAAGCCTTTGCTGCCATCTTACATGTTTGTACTATACTCACACATGGCTTTCAACTCCCACAAGCCCGGCGACATCCCGAACATTTTAGAGCAAGCCCTGGCAAAATATCTGACACTCAAGCCGTCTAATCTCGACACCAGAACCAGGTACTGTTGGGCCTTCACCCTTGCATTTTGGCCATTCTCCACGGCAGCGCTTGCCGCGGTGGCTCTTAGCATTACAAGTTTTGGCAGCTTGGCGGAAATCCTGCTCTGTGCTTGCCGAGACTACGTTTATGAATAACTTCTGGCTTGTCTTGGCAGTTTAGAGTCTCAGAGTGGAGCCGATGAGGCTCCAGACCGATGCATTGCACTTATGCAGGTTCCCACAACAGTTTCTGGTCGACTCCTGCTATAAGGCATCACGTTCTGGCAGCTACTGTAGGCCACAGCCACCTACAATCATGGCAAGTACTCTAGATTAAGGTTCCGTTCAACCCCCCTGACCCGAACAAACCGTACCATTCTTGGTATCTGAAAAGCCACCTGAATGCAGAAGAAGTCCCAGGTGCCAGCCATCGGTTGCCTAGCATCGGATTTGTCAGTCTCCTCACTGTGATAGCCTTTGGGCTCGCGGCCTACGAGACGCTTTGGTGACTTGGCTTCTGCGTACGTCTGGACCATGAGCTGCATCCATGCAGCCATGCATCGTAGCCGCGGAGCAGACAAGTGCTCGAAGTCGACAACGATCCTAATCAAAGTCTGGACCATGGCATTGCCTTGCTGCATCCTCAACACCACCATGATGGCAGCGAGTATAGCAAACACTGAGCCACAACAAAGCCGTGCAGTAGAAATAACAGCGCGGTCCACCGTCGCCGCCACCACCACCATCACCGCCACCGCCACAACTACCGCCACAACCACCGCACCGCCACAACCACCGCCACCACCACCACCACCACCACCGCCAACGCACTGCCGCCACCGGCACCGGCAACGCCCACCCCAACGGCAACCCCATCAACAACAACCCACTGCTAACACCAACAAAGAACAAACAAAGAAGCAAACAGTCAGGACCTCGACGCCAGCAACACCTGCAATAGCATAAGCAACAAGATACTGAACAACAGCGGCGACTGTAGTCAATTGAGCGGCGGCAGCAAAACATCCACAATAGAAAGACTGTAGCTGCCCAGTTCGTCTCCATGAAGGTCATCATCATCATAGTTGCAAACAGAAGAATCAGCTGCCAGTTACATCCTGTCAGGCCTGACGTATTGGGGACAGAAACACAGTGCAGTACCAGGTTTCGCAGTTCAGAGAACCACCCCACAAACGACGGGCAACACCAGCGACGCAACAGCACACCCTAAACCTTAAACCGAACCTGTCATCGATGCGCCGGAGGTTTGTGAGAGGCGAACCGCTGTCCTTAGTGCCTCGGCCATGAACTGCTCCCCAATATAGGGTTCTTTATCATCGGTGCTATCATTCCCTCGTAGTCCCTACCTCTACCCCCCAAACCCTGCGAAATGGTAGGTTATGAGCCCTGAATCGTAGGGTCTCACCCCTAAAACAACAGGTTTGTTGGATCCCCAGCTATTGCAATTTATAGTACAATGTACGGCCGAACCCGATTCTAAATGCGGAGGTCCCTATATAGGAACTGTTCTTGATTTAGCCCTACAAGCGAAAGCCGAGACCGACAGCCACCAGGAAGCTCCTAGCCCGGATCCCTCGAAAGTTGGGCCAAAGAGACAAAAAGCTTCGCAAGTCTCGGGCAAGAGGCTGATGAGGTCTGCAAACCCGAGCTCAGCCTACATAAACCTATAAACCGCCAAACCCAATAAGAACTCGACCCCTGAGGTCTACAAGTTCGGAAGCCTCTTCATGGCCGCTTGTGCCATCCTGGTGCCTTTGCTCGAAGCCCTGAGCTCCTCGGCTCAATTTGCAGATTCGCGGCTCCTGGCCCCGGGCTTTCAGGTTCAGGGCGGCTGTAGCCTGAATGGGGTTATGGTTAAGGTTTAGGTTTAGGTTGTAGGGCTTTAGAGTTTAGGCTTACCTTTATTTAGGGCCGGTACAAGCGCTTTGGTAAGGGTTAAGGGGCGAATTCGGGCCTACGTTTTTAGAGGTGAGGGATTTCGGATTGAGGCTTCGTGCTGGAGGGTTTAGAGCCGAGGTTTCATGTAGGGTGAGCGTAGAACGTGACAGCAAGAAGCCTCCCAGCGAGACTTGTTGTGCAGAGGGCTTCAGGGCGATGCTCAGAGCGATCGGTGTGCCTGTAACCTCACTTCCGAGGCTTTGACGACATAAAGCAGGATAGCCACTGTTCCGAGAAGGCCTACCCATCTGCTTGCAAAATTGGGCCGTGCGCCTTTACCGCCAGGTTCCAGATTCCGGCCGCCACACCTGCTCATGATCCTGAGCGGCTTGATGTACGTGATCGGAGGCATCTCGGAGAGAGCGCGAGGTGAAGTTGGCGAAGTTGGCAGTGATAAAATCGCAATCAAAAGGCATTGAGTCTTGGAGGCTGAAAGCCCCTGAAGTAGTAGCCATGCCGTAATAGATGGGACTAACCACAGCAACGTCGGCAGCGATAGGATCATAGTCGTCATGTGATGCCTTGCCCGTTCCACTTCCCGGTCCTTCCTTTCCAGTCTGTATTCCGGAATTTGATGATGGTGATGTTGTTGATGAGTAAGATGATGATGATGATGATGATGATGATGATGGTGCTGATGGTGATGGAGGTGATGAAGATGACGACCATCATCCTCTTGATTTCCATGTTCATCATCATGATTTTTTTATCGCGATGGTGATGGTAGTTTGTTGATGACAGTGGTGGTCGTGCGGCTGCCGGTGCCTTTGATGCTGTTGCTGGGAGTTGTTCTGCTGGTGCTGGTGGTGGTCGTGATGACGGTGTCGATACTTGTTGTCATGCCGTGCTGATACTGACGATGATGGCGCTGCAGTAGGTGGCTGTGCTGTTCTCATCATCATCATCATCATCATCATCATCGTCATCGTCAGCAGCAGACATCAGCATCATGGGGTCGTCGTAATTTTTTGTCTCGAGCCACTGCGCATCAGCACCCCTGCGCACGTGTGTGTGTGTGTGTGTCTTTTTCAGCTTGGATTCCCAAGTTGCTTTCTGTCTTCAGGCATTGTGGAGCTTGAAGTGCCCATAGATGGAGCGTACAATGAGTCTTTCCTGTACCACATTCTGGTGCTGCCCTCAGTCCATGGCGGAATCTTGGGACTGATACACATGTGCAGCCAATGTGCCCGGACGCTGACAAAGCAAGAGCAAACGAAGCATCGCGGACTCCGTAGCTATGGTGGCCGAATGCGAATGGGCAACGGGCTCGCCCGAGCTGATTCGGACAGGTGTAGTGCGGCATACACTTAACCAGGTGACACGGTCCGGAGAGCTTTCCTTCGGTCTGCTCGTCACTCAAAGCCTGGCCCTAGAACTTATGACTGAACTCAAGACTTTCTGAGGTCGGCCTTTCGGTCATGTTCGCCTATTGTGCCTGCCAGACGCGGCGATCGCTGTCGCACATCCAGGAGGGTGACAGACCCTCGACAAACATGAAGTTGATCAGTAGTCAGGCATCAAGATCAGTCTTGAGAGAGCGTAGGAGTGTGGACATTCAGGTTCTGAACACCGTTTGGTGATGTTTGCGGGAAGGGTTGCAAATGACGCGAGTTTTTTTGATTTACCCCAGTGCCACTGACTTCTCTATGGCACCTTGAAACATGGATCCTTCTGTCTAGCACGGAAAGCAGTGTTTGGGTTCGACCTCGTCAGGCTTGAACAAAATAGCTCTTTCGCCCACGAGTGATCGGCATCGAAGGGCTGGTCTCTGTTTGCAGTTCGCTGACTTTGGATTGCCATTCAGGTGTTATTTCGATTCTGCCCCTGCTGCACTCCCGGACGCCTTGCACCCTGAAGTGCTCAGGAAAGCTGCAGGAAAGGGAAAGGAGTCCATTGGTAGAGGAGAGAGAGAAGGCGCGAGTTTCGGAGGCTCATGGCTGACGTTTCCAAACAAGGGTCTTAGATCGTAGGTTTTTGTGAAGTCCTGCCAGCTTGAATGATCAAGGCTATCCCCAATCTTACCTTCGTATAGTATAGTGGCAGTGTAGCCCAGTTGTACTGCGAGCTTCCAGACTCCTGTCATCCCTATATAAACAGTAGCCTCTAGACGGTGATATGCAGTGTTGGGTCATGTCGGGTGGATTCACTGCTGCCTCTTCGTCGCTGTGAGCTGGTTTGCAGATGATAAGTGGTGAGATTGCGTGTGAAGATCGAGGTAATCCCAGACAGAAGGATGCCTAAGCTTAAGTCCTTTAAGTGCTCTTCCGGAGTCACATCCTAAATTGTGATAATATAATAAACGCAAACTTGCAACCATCAGTTTCAGCTGCTATGATGCAAGCTAGGAAGTATTGCACGCAGACCTAAGACTTCTTGGCTTTCAAGGTTGGCGATCGTCCCAGATCTATCTGTTAAGATGAATTCAAGCCACCCGCTCAGAGGAGTTTGGTTCAACTGACGTCTGGCGGTTCAGCCCTTGAGGGATCTTGGGACCGAGGAGGACTGAACCCAGCCTTTTCCCGCGCAGGAGAATGCAGGTGAGGAGCAGTCTGGGCCCCAGGGCAAGTCAAACCTTAATACTAATATGAATACTGATACTTACAGTAGAACAAGTAATGCTATTAACTATTGTTAGAGTCATAACAAGAAGGATTAATGAATGAAGTCAGGAACCCAGCATGCGAAACCCTAGTCCCTCCTGAACCGGGGGCAGTAGTTTTGGTCGTAGAGGTTTAGCCCACTCTCCTGGGTCTGTTCTCCATGTCCGTGAAGGATAAATGAAAGCAGGCAGGACTGTTATTTGGCGGTGGGCCTTGTTCGTGCTGTTGTATACGGTATACCATGCAATGATTATATCCGAAACTTAAGAGGACAAGACCGTTAGAGCCCTACCCAGCTAGATCCGGGCCAGCCGTTACCCATCTTTGTTTGAGCTTCATCTTCTGACCGAAGCTGACGATGTACTCATTACTGCTGATTGCGGTTCGGGGTCGCAGAATGCTTCTCTCCCGCAGGGGAATCATACTCACCGTCTTGGGCGTCTAGGGTGGGTATGTATCTGGCACGGCAGAGTCTATGATGGAGAGTACATGTCAAAGCCGGTAGCAGGATTACGGACCTCGCTGTCGGAGCCTGTAAAGAGTTTAGGTTTGCAGCATGGAGTGGCTCAGTACTACAGCGTCAGACCTAGGGTCTACGGTATTGGATGTATAATCTAGAATGTACAAGATATAGTATAACATCTATGATATAAACGAATGTATAAACTAGTATTGCAAGTAAGTTGCGGCTTTGGAAGCCCACAGCATCTCCTATCCCTGGCTAGAGACTCCCCTGGATCGGAAAGGCTCTACAGTGCAGAAGTTGGCATGCTGAGGCCCTGTTGCTTCTGCTTCCGATCGCCGTTTCGACGGAAGGCGCCCGTCAGACGTTTTCAGGTTCCGTGCAGCCCATAGTGAACTGAGCCATTTGGCCTTGTAACGAATGCCCCTTGTGTCCTCTGAGAGAAAGAGGGCTTCTTGAATCGTAGCGTCGTAGCAAGTCGATGAATCTTGACAGAAGAAAGCTAGGCAAACCGCATGTAGCTGGCTGAATCTGATCTCGCGTTCGACTGACAAGAGAGAACGCCAATCTCATAATCCAGACCCTGCACCGGTCAAGCAGCAGAGCTACTGATCACAGACACTAGTACTTAGCATTGGTATACCGGTGTATAGATAAAAGCACCATGCGAGAAGCCAAACAGACCTTACACCCTAAACCCTAAACCTTAACCCAAAAACATTAGGGAGGCATCGAGTGCTCTGCCAGGAGGCCAGCCCTCAATGGACATACGTGAGCCAGGATCCCAGAGGTGCGAACTAGGCCGGGTGGGGTTATTATGGGGCACGGCTTCTTGGGCTCAAAGGGTCAAGAGTATACAGGGCTTAGGGACCCTTGGCAGTCAAGGTTTAGGAGCCTATGCTGCAAAACTCTGTAGCAGAATTCGACTGGCAGATGAGACTGATGTGCTGGTTTGGTGACAGTCTTGCCTCCCCAACAGAGCGATTCAGCACGTAGTCGCCTACCCAGCTGCAGCCTGTCTGCTGCATGGGGCCGCAGGCATATTGCTAAGTTTTACATGAGATATCGACCAACTTCAGTTCGCACGAGTTTCTAACTATACCCTTCTAGGGAATGCTGTGTCGAGCGTTGCCTCTGGCAACCAATTGTTGGGCACTTGAGGGTTTTAATCCTGCTTCGAGTTCAGCTATAGGCCTTCGCATTCTATGACGCTCCCCCCAATACGAATGAGACGACTCCCACGATTTTTGCTGACTGCGGCCTGACCCCGAAGACAGGGGTCGCACAATTTGCAACCAGCATGCAGAAGCGGCAAAGTCGAGTGGTCGCCGGTGAGGCACCGCAGAGCGGCTTTACTCGGGGCAAATCCGGCAGGCAGCAAAACTGCCGTACTGGAAGCTCGCGACGAAAGTCCTAAACTAACAGCCGCAAACCCTTGCAATTCGAATCCCCCCCTGAGGAGAAATCAAACCTTCATTAGACGCCGCGCCGAGACTGCACTGCAATGTTGGGCTTGTCAATGCACCCACATGTTGCCCTGGCAAGGTGCCAGGGATATAGGGCAGACTCAGCGGTTGGTGAACCAAGAACCTTTGACCATGTGGTGACATACGGAATGCTATATATCTGGAGGAAGAAGTAAACAAAGCTAGAGGTACCGTCCAAAAGACTGCAAAAGGGTCATCCTGTTGTGGTCAGAAATCAGAGGATTGCTTCTCCAATAGAATGACAGCACCAGCAGAATATCCTTACTATCTGGTCGTTTAACTACGATCAATAGCAGCAAGAGTGAACTCACGTGACCAGTGCTTACTTGCATTTGCAAAAAAAAGATATGAGCTATTTTGAATCAGCGCGAGCAACAATAGGCTACCAATCTCATGTACAAAACCTGATGACAAAGTTTTTCAGTGGGACCCAGATAGGACTACAATCATCCTCCTGCTCAACACTGCAAAAAGGCTACGATCCGGCAATGTAGTAATGCATCAGCACCTGGAAGGGTGTAAGATATCACATGGCTACACACTGCGCACATCATGATGATATATTGTGGCCACGATGCGAGCCAACATCGCCGCATGCCATAGTTGCGGCAGAACTATCCACCTCTCGCTGTTTGCAAACTGAGATAGGTGTGTGACAGATTTCGATTTCAGGATCTGGCATGAAGACGCGGACTGCAATCCCGAAACAAGGCTAGTACGGCTAGCATAGGAAGGAAGCCGGTTGACCAACCTGCCGGGTCTCTTCGACAGCTTGTCTCAGGAGTGACGCCCCCAGCCCTCCCCATGTAAGCCCACGCCGGCCCTAATGTCGCTGCTGGTTTCAGACGTCTCAAGTATGGATCTCGTCCTACTTCTGAGACACAGCTAGATGAATCCCACATCTTGGAATGCAGCAAAGTCGAGCAGACCATCAGAGGTGGGTCGGTTGCACGCGAAGGGCCTCGAAGACTCCATTAGCCCAGACATACAAGGTCCCAATAAGCCGTGTGATTTCATAGTCCATACGACCCTATAGATGCAATGCTGCAAGTCTCTAGGGGTCACCGCAATGACGACATGGAGCAGGGCTGCTACAAAGTCACGGCCTTCTTGGCTGTCGCCAATAGAACCAGTCCGAGAGCAAAGTATTTGCAAACCCTTCTGGTTGAGGAGCATGACTAATGAGCAAAACAGACCCAAGATGCGGGGCCTAGGGGTAGGAGTAGGAGCGGTAAGTAGTAGTAGTAGTAGTAGTAGTAGTAGTAGTAGTCGCAGTGTAGTAGTAGTTGTTGTCGTTGCTGCTGCAAAACTTACGAAGCAGTAGCGGTAGCTGTAGCCGCTGCAGTAGTAGTAGTCGTCGTCGGAGTCGTCCTCGTCGTGGTCGTCGGAGTCGTCGTGCCAGTAGCAGTAGCAGTACGACGAAGCGAAGGAGCAGCAGCAGTTGCAGCAATAGATTTCGTCGTCCACGTCATCGTCGTAGTCGTCGTCGTCGTCGTCGTTGTAGTGGCAGTGCTACGGGTAGGGGTGGCAGCAGCAGCAGCTGTAGGAGCAGCACTGGCATTGACAATAGTGACTCGTGCAGTCGTCGTGTTGTCGTGATCTTGGCGGCGGCGGTGGTGGTAGTCACAGTACTGGGTAGTTGGAAAAGCCTGGGTACCAGCTGTTTTGTCGTTGTGGCAGAAGCAGTGGTGGCACCAGTACAGCAGTAGCAGCAATCCTCTCATCAGCAGGCCGGCGGCAGAATGTCCAATGGCTGCAGTACCTATGACAAGCAGTGCGCTGAAACTAGCTAGTACAGCTCAAACTAAGACAAGCTTTTTCATCCAAACTCACCGAATCAAGAGGCCTGGAACGAGGCAAGGAGCGAGACATTCAAGCAACTTTGCCTCGACCTGACGACAAGCATGGGCCGCAAGAGCCAAAAAAACAAGTGCGCCAGACAAGATGAGTTTTTGGTGCTTTTGGAGGACGTTCGGTCGTGTCGTGCATGTTGTTTGCAGATGGCTGGTCCGTCTTGTTCGGGGCTCAAGCGGACTCCCTGGAAAATGGGAAACTATTGCGTGTCCAGGGATGATGATCCGCAGCAGCCCATGCCTGAGTTACCGTGGAGCGAGCAGCCGCCCTACTGCGCAGCGACCAGCTTGCAGTGCTCCGAACCCTTCCTGAAAAGGTCGAGACGCCAGTACGAGAGCTACACCTTCCTTCGACACCAAATCGTGGAGAAGCTTAGCAACGATGTCCTGGCGACCGAGTGCAGGCACTTGTACGAAGAGGACACCTTGAACTGGGCGCTCACAGCATTTATGCAATGCAGACTGGTTTTCATCACTGTGTCAGGTTTGCTCGAAGTGGGCCAATGATTGTCTAACGTCTTCCCAAGAACAGGCGACACGAAAGCTGGCAGAATACAAGTGCATTGCAAGCAAACCTGACAAGAGTGCATATGCGGCGCTTTCAGCACAGGAACCTGTGTGGTGCAAGTGTAGTTATCCTACCATCCAAGCAAGCGCAGTGTTTTCTGTTAGCTGAATGTTTCTTGCTCCTGGTGGTAGGGTGTAGTGAGATACAGTTTCCGCTCTCATCCACTCGACTTTACTCTTCTATAGACTATGCTTTGTGCTAGACTAGATATTAGACTATCTACTACTGTCTATACAACAATATTTACTGTATACTGTACTATATATGTCACCATATTCTACACTACAGACTTTACTTTACTATATACTTAGTGCTCATTCTTTCTATACATTTACCGTACTGCATGTATACTATACTAGATACGATACTATAGACTCAACTATATACTAGACTATCGACTTTACTATCTTCTAGACTATCTGGTACACTGTATACGATGCCATTTGTAAACTGTATATTTTACCACATGATATTATTGTACCACATGATATAGTATATACGAGATTGTATGCTATACTGTGCACTTCATTGTATAGTACACCGTATACTTCATGTACTCTATACTTTATATTATACCTGCACTTTACCGCTTATTATAGTCTTGACTATCCTAAGCTGCACTGTACTGTACTATACTATACTAAAGGTGACCCTAATGGCTTACTGCTGCTGTGATATCTGACAGCAGGACCGGAGGTGGTCTAGGAATGGTTAGGGCTGCATTTTCCTGGCGAAAGCGGAATAGCTGAATCCGAAAACAGACCGGAACCACAGCAGAAGCCAGATTCAGATAGATTATGAAAGCCGGCTGACTCCGACGCTGTTTTGAATCGATTTCCATGAGAGTCTCGTCCGGTTTGATTATCATGGAGAAACATATCCAGGCCTTACCAGTCAGATCAAGCTGCAGGCACTAATTACGGAAATCGAAGAGCCGTTGTCGGCATCATGCTCTTCTTTGGAAATCTGGAGCCACAAACTCTGCATGATGTTAATGCTAAGCTCCCTTGCAGGAGTGTCGGCGAAGACACGTTCAGCTTTTATCCAAAGCAGACTGGGAAGCAGATCCCCAGCCGCATTCAGAGTTGTTAAGACCCTCAGCCTGTCAGAATCGCAGCCATCGTAATCATAGCCACAGCAATCTTAGGAATAACAAAAAAAGAACAAGATCAACATATTAGTGCTGCTAGGGTTCATGCTCCTTGAGAGCCAAAGCCTCAAGCCGTCAGCCCTGGGGCCCTACACGGTGTGCCCTGAACGTAAAGGCGGAAACCCGAAGCACGCAATGCAACTGAACCCTCGGTAAGAAGACGAGCAGGAAAAGTGAACGACCCTGACAACAGACAATGCTAGAAAGGATAGGGACAACGAGGACGATATAGGTTCAAAACCATATCAGCAATCCTGACCGTCGAAGTAGTTGTAGCACTCCAAGTTGTGCTTCCCAGGTCTGTTTACCCTTCATTGTGCGGGTCTCTTGCAACGATCCGCAGACGCAGCAGCGGATATTGCAATCTGTCGATGAGCTGTACCCAGGGCCTCCGCAGAGAAGCGTTACACAGGCAGGTGTAGCTAAGATGGGAGACTCTAGAACGAAGTGCCATGATCATCCTGCAAAATTAATAGGTCTAAGTACGCTAGTGCAGAAATGTGGTAGCGTGCTGTACAGGCCACATTCATCGAGTTCAACCGACTTGCCCTGAGCCTGGCTGAGCAAGATCTCCGCAGGCGAATCGCCAAACTCAAAGTGCCCCGGCAGAGCTCTTCCAAGGTTTAAGGTGAAGTCTACACTTAGAAACACCAAAGTCGGGAGCCTTCAGTGTTAACGGTCCTCCGCGTATTTTGAAACGGGTCGCAGGATTGTCTCGATAGCCGAAATCCTCGGCATTCTGCGCCATCGGGCCCTGAAGCTTCGAGGCTGAGCCCTTAGTCATCTTGTAGACCCTATACTATAGGTGGGACCGTCATGAGGACCTCAAGCCCGAGGAAAGGACACGTCGATACTCAAAGCCTTAGTGACCTAGTACCCTGAACTGGACATTCTCAAAGCCTCATACCCCAAGCATAGCATGCCGCAAACCTCGAAATCCCAAAACGGAGCAAGCCCTAAACTCCAAACCTTCATACCTATAAAGTCCCTAAGCCTCGAAATCCTGAAAAGCCTCAAAGCCTAACACCCTATCAAGCACCCTACCCTACCCGAAGAGGACAAGTTTGGTGGCAACGCGCCGCCGGCGGTGCTCGTTTCACAGAGCTCTCAGCTGGACTGGGTCGGGGAGCTGCTGGGCAAAGACCAGGCCTGCAGCTCCCGGCCCTCCCATTTGCGGCCCCAAGGTTACTAAAAGGGCTTAGGGTGGGGTTTAGGGTTCATAGTTAAGGTTTGCGTTTGGGGTTTGTAAATTAAGGTTTGGGTGTGCGGGCTGGTGAAGTTGGGAAGATCCAATAAATTATCCCTTCGGCTTCCTTAGTACGATTGTAGTATAAAGCAGCCCAGCGCCCTACGCTAATTAGCAAGACCCCTATATTCAGGTCACCCGTCACAGATCTATAGGGGTCCAAAGGTTGCAAAAACGTTGAAATGAGAGCTTACTGCAACTCTTGTGACGGGTCAAAGGCTTTGCGAGGGTTTGTAAGCGCTTCGAAGAGCTCATAGTAAATAGGTCTGCCAGGACTTTTTAAAGCCTGAACCCCGAGATCCTGCATTGCCATAGAAGCGGTTCAGAACTTTCGGGTTTCGGTATTTCGAGGCTTGGATCGGGAATTAAAGCATTCGGTGGAAGTGGAAGTACCAATGCTGGCCACAGGTGCGAGAGGGATCCTTAAACTAAACCTAAACTCCGAGCTTTTGCCCCAAAAACGACCCCTTCGATAAGGCCCTCCTCGTTTGGGACGTCGGACCTCGTGGGGTGGTGCAGTTGAGCTTACTGGACCTTCAGCAGACAGCCACAAGTTCTGGAATTAGTTAGTTCATCGGCACAGGGTTTCTGATCTTGTTTCCTACGGAGTTGAGCCTAATTAGCAAGCTTGCAACACGGAAAGACTGTGTTTCCAGGGGCCAAGAGTCTCGCGTGGTCACCTTGTGTCAGCACGTTTCGCGCTCTGTCCTTACCCAAGCACTGGCAAGAACAAGATAGGTACTGATGGGCATGCTCGAGATCATGAAGATAAAAGTCTGACCGCACAATGCACCAAGACCTGCGCAACAGGTATGAGTTATGTAATCATAACACACTTCGTTATGAGTTATGTAGGCCCCTGCTTCATGACCCTGCTTCCTCGAGATACGTATATTATACCCACATTATATGCCAACTTTGCTTTACTGCTAAAGTCACTGTTTAGCAAGCACCCCTATAGTAGCCCTACAGGACCTTTACTATCACAACCATTCCTAGTTTCAGTACCTTTATAGTCTCCCCTTCTGGCAGCCCTACAAAGTACTTTTGTTCTTATATATATATATATATGTATGTATATAGTAGTAGTACCCTTATCGTCGTGTTCCTATACTACCTCTATCGGTCGAGCTCCCGAGTTATATTACTTTATGTGTGTCTTATTGCACATGTTTTTTGCGACCGCTTTCTTGCTTTAGTATGGTTGTTGTGATTCTTCTTATTCCTGTGACTATTCGTTTTGTTTTGATTGGAGCTCCCCTGCCCTGGGCCCTAAAACCCTAAACCCTAAACCCCTAAACCCCTAAACCCTAAACCCCCTGCCCTGGGTAGCAGTGACCTCTGCAGGCAGAGCCCGAAGCCTTGGAGCCTCTGGTGATTTCACCCAGAGCTGACCGAGCCTCCTGGCGAACATTTTTGGCATTATTCTGGGGCCTTGAGTTACCGTAATGGTTTATGAGTTCTTGTTCAGTTATGAAGACTTTTGAATTCTTGTCAGTCCAATTATAACGATTTCTTGCGAGGGTTTCTGTACAGGTTTCTGTTAAAGGGTTTTCCACCAGGGTTCCTGTAAGGGTTTCCATATAAGGGTTGCTACAACCGTGGTCACGTCTGAGAGCAGTCCCACAACAACACGAGCTTCAAGTGAGGAAGATGTTCGGTTCAGTTCCGACGAATTCGATAGCAAGGGTCCGAATGCGGCTGACCGTGTTAGGGTTCGGAAAACGATCCTTGGGTCGTTATCCGACCCGAAAGGTTGAATATTGAGGTTGCATTCTTTGGCTCAAGTCTTCGGATTAAAGACATGCTGGAGCTTGGAAGCCTCTTCCAGCCGAGGCCCGCAATCCTAAAGCCTAAACACATGCCTGGGTCTTCTCGACTGGCCCTATCGTTACGATTATCGTGAACATCTGTGTATTTTTGGGCCGACATATCGAGCGTGTTCTGAATGTCGAGCCAGTACCACGGATGATCGTAGTACCCAGAGCCATAGGTGTGAGTCATGTTGTGACTAGTAGCACGATAACACGTAATGATGGCTGGGTGCTTTCTTAGTCTGAGTGGTCTGTTCGCTGTATGGAAGACGAGCATGTGCTGTTTTAGATAGCAAAAGAACGGTTTGGCCAGGCTTCAGGCGGGTCTGAGTCAGAGCTGCGTGAAAAACCTGCTTCCCGAGACTGCAAACTGGAGATCCTGAACCCCGGTGCAGGGAACTGCACTGCACCGGGGGATGCTTGCACAAGGGTGTTGTAGCCATTCCATGAAGACCGCTCCAGCAGAAAGCTGTTGAGGCTGTGGCCAGTTCCTCAAGGACCGTCGGCGAACTTGTGCTGTTCGACAGCCGTGCACAGAGGTCGTTCGATCGCCGTGCATCTCGTTTGTCAGTTTTTGGTGTCTGCGCCTTACGGCAGATCATGTTTCACGCCGCGAAGCAGACCAATTGCAGACACGTTAATTTGCACGTGTGTCAGAGTGTCGTCGGTATCATCATACACTTGCACTCTCCTTTAACTCTGTACCACATGAATTGGGAGAACAGGCGCTCTATCAAAGATATGCGTGCTTTTGGGAGGGCAGTGCGCTGCGCCCAAGTTCCTAATGCCTCTGAAAGGACACGGCCACCGGCACCTTGGCCCAGCGACATGCACGGGAATGGTGCGCTTGGGATGGCGTCAGTACCGCGGGCACAGCCGCAGCTTCAATCAGAAGCCATGCTGCATGAGAAGGTTGTTCATGTTGGATCACGTATGCCCCGATCGCAGTCCTGCAAAAGCGTCTCAGTGTGACAATCTAAACTGGTAAAGCCGCTGCCGGTGCTTGCATAGGGAAGATCTGAATCTGTCGTCACAATGGAAAATCTACAACCCATGTCGAGGATTTGGGCACTGCTGATGCCGGCACATCAGCTGCACCTCAGAAAGCAGACCTTGACTGAAAACAGAACTAGTATCCAGTATCTTTTGCATAGCCACGCAGGGCAAAGACTCAAACTGTTTCAATACTTTGGAACCGACTCGCTGCCCAATGCATGGGTCTGTTTAGATCGTTCCAGCCAAATCCGAATAGACGTCGGATCCGGAAGTTTCGCGAAGCTTGTCAGTTTTGCGAATCGACAATGTAGTATATCGTTAGGGTGTAGTTGGGGTTGTGGGCCCTTCGGAGCCTTTATAAGATAAAAGCTGGACCCCGAGTTGGTGCCAGGTGCAGCCGATCTCGGGACTCCCTTCACAACAGAGAGACTGCAGGAAAGCTTGGCTTGCTTCCCTAGAATCGTCATCCGCCTTCTGCTGGTTCTTCAACTTCTGTTGGGTTCCTGCATGCGCTGCCTAGTATACCTGAACGCATGCAATCATTTTTAGTTAGTGCATATGCAAGTCTGCATGCATGTTTCTCAAAGTCCGAAGCGTATCACGTTTTTTTGTAGGCGGAAATTCCCTGACAGCAGGACGGCGACCTAAACCAAGTTCCCCACATCACCTTGGACGGAGAGATCTGGCGCCAAGTGCCTGGGCTTCATAGCCCCCGGAAGTCTTTGGGATTGAGGCTTTGGGCTTAGAGCTCCCGGATTCTAGAGTTTGGTGTAATCCTCAGATTACAAAGGAGAGAATCCCGTACTAGTAGGTTCCCGAGCTTCGAATCAGAACCCTCCCAGCCCTCAGTTGGCAGAAGCTCAGGCTCAAGACGCAACTCTGCCAGGTCAACACGAAATCGATGCTACTGTAGCAGTTGTAGTTGAAGTTCGTCAAAACATGGCTGCTCGCGACCGTCAATACAATAAGCAAAGAGAGAAATGCATGCGAAATCAGTGCATAAACCATGTGCGGGCGTGCTTTCTGTGTGTTTACCATGTATATACTTGCACTATGCACATATACATATATATATATATACATATATATATATATATACACATGTATATATATATATGCTTGTATACACCTGCATCACATATTTGCTAGAGGCAGCCAAACCCGGCCAAACCAAAATGAGCCAAAATTCAGGACCTGAGCCAGTAAACAACCTATCTAACAAAAGCACGATGCTGGCAGAAAGCACCGTGAAATGGCAAAACGACTCGTTTGCCAAGTCACACACCTGCCGCGGACCCCTCAGAGAGCGAAATAGTGCACAAACGACTCTAAAACAAACAATACCCATACTTTTGCACGTGTTTGTGTGTGTATGTCAGTATGCACATGTATGCACCGATGCATGTATGTATGTATGTATGTATGTATGTATGTATGTATGTATGTATGTATGTAATGTATGTAATGTAATGCAATGCAATGCAATGCAATGCAATACAATGCAATGCAATGCAATGCAATGGAATGTAATGTAATGTAATGTGATGTAACGGACTGGAATGTAATGTAATGTAACGTAATGTAATGTAATGTAGAAATGCAATGTAATGTAATGCAATGTATGCATGTATATGCATATGTATGTATACATGAATGTATGCATGTATGAATGCATGTATGTATGTATGTACGTGTCGCCATACGGCTCAAGGGATAAGTGCGTAGAACATGTATGTATATGCATGCATGCATGCAGACATGCACACACGCATGTGCTTATAAGATATGTGCATCATGCACATACACGCGTATACACATGTGTACACATGTATACACATATGCATGTATTTGTGTGTATATATATACACACACAGAGGCGCACACATATGTGCATACATACATTCGTATATATATATATATATGTATATGCAACTGCAGTTTTACAGATACATATGAAACCTGTGTATGTGCGTACATACATACTACATGCATGCATGCTTACACAAGTACATTCATGTGTATGCATGAGCGTATGTATATGAGAGAGAGAGAGAGAGAAAGAGCCAGAGACATATACGCATACGCATTCTCTCTCTCTCTCTGCATATATATATATATATATATATATATATATTT